AAAAAAAAAAATTAACTTTTGAGTCCTTCTTGTGTTACAAACCATTTTAAACTTTCCTTTTAAAAACTCTCATAAAAGTAAATATTTGTTGAACAATTTTAAATAAGTGCATGATGCTATTAATTGGACTACTTGCAATGTTTGGATGTTTCAAACAAATAAATACTTTGAACGTCAATTTAATGTACTCCTTTTGCGAACACAAAATGAATTACAATTTATTTTGAGTTAAATAAGAAAAAAAAAAAAGAGAAATTGACCAAACTTAAGCACAATCATAAAATAAAAATATTTTAGTGGAAGAAAAGTTTATGAAACAGAAATAGAAAAGTAAAAAGAAGAAAGAAAAATGAAAAGTTTATTTATAAATTTGGAAAAAAATAATTTTATAAATATTTAAAGAACTAAAGTCTAATTAACTTTAGTTCTTTATTTTTTGTTTTAATCTCATGAAAATAAATTTTTGCAGAACAATTTTAAACCTTTGATCTTCCTCATAAATCTTTCTTACAATCTCATCAATCATGTGCTTCTCTCTTAAAAACTCTTCATATTGCTTTTGTTTAGTTTGTTCTTGTTCTTGTAGCTGACTTTCCAGTTGTTCTTGATACTGAACACTTTTTTCCCAACGTTCACGTTCTTTTATTTGGTCATGTTTTATAGCACGTTCATAATCCTCTAGCATCTCTTTAGCTGTTTCAGATTCTCTTTGCTAAAACATAAAACAAATGTTTTGCTGAAACATAAAACAAACATTTTACTAAAACAAGTAAAAGTAACATCAAAAAGTGAAAGAAAAAGAAAAAAAAATGTTTTTAAATAAAAAAATTTAGTACTGCTAAGCTTATCTGTAAAGCTTGCTTTTCAGCAAGTTGAGCTGCTCTTTCTTTGTTCATGTATCCTGCACGCAGTTTAGCTTCTAATTCGCGTAGCTCTAAACTAAAGACAAATAACTTTAGTTCTTAGTATATTAGTTTAAATAGATTTAACATGGTTAGAACAAACAATTTTACACAAATATAAAATATTTGTTTTGCCTTTTTATATTAGAAATTAAATAAGTATATATGGCTGATTCAGCATTTTTATGACAATGTTAAGAGTTTTGCATTTAAAATCTTAACTTGACTGAAAAATTCTTTTTGAAAACGTATACAATTTTAAATAAAAAAATATTTACTCATTTTTGTAAATTGTTTTAGAAAATGAATATCATCTAAAAGTTGTTAGGAATGAAGGTAAATTGTAAAATAATGATTTTATCTTCATGATTTGCCTCTCTAATATTTGCTCAAGGCATGTACCCAAAAAAAAACATGATTGCAGCATCTTTAAAACAACAACTTTAGGAAAAAAGTTATTAAAATTTCATTAGATATTTTCTAGTTTTTTTTCAAAATAATTTACTCCAAACAAGGCTGTAAGCACCACTATATAAGTTAAGAGATACTAAAAAACAAAGAACATTGTTAAAGAGTTAGAAAACGATTAACAAAAGACTTGAAAAATTGTAAATTGAATTTGTCAGGAAAACCTAAAGGTGGGGGAGAATTCCAAAACAGTGATGCTTGCAGAAGAAAACTAGATAATAAAGTTTTTAGAGCATGAAGGGACAGATGAAATAATAACAAGTTATGCAAGAATAAGTTTTGGTTAATGGAACAAAAGATGTTACCATGTTTGAGCAGCAACCATGATAGTATTTGTAGAAAATAAAAAGAAATGCAACCTTGAGATGAGATAAATACAGATGGTGAGATAGTGGCTTTAAATTTTGAATAATATATATCTCTGCTAAATTGGGAGAAGTGAAAACAGAAAAAGAAATTATCTAATCGAAAAATCTGTCAAAACATCGTGATCTTTTAGTAAAACTAAATTTCCTTTAATAATTAAGATAAATCAGCAGTAGCATGCTGGTCCTAGAGGTTATGCCCCAGAGGAATCCTGCCTTATGCTTTTAATCTTATAAGGGCCTTTTGGATAAAAAAAAATTTCTACTATATTGTTTGAATGATCAACAAATAATTTTTTATTCACTTTATTTTTGCTTTTGTTAATTTAACTCTTTACTTGTCTGATTTGAAGTGTTAAACTTGACTGCTAGTATATTATGAACTTTACTGCTAATATATTAGTTATTTGCATACTAAAATGAAAGCATCTAATATAAGCCTCAAAAATAATTGCAAAAAATGTTTTTTATTACATCATTTAAATTGCTTTTAATGGTTGTAATAAATTGAAAAAATGTCACGGGTGGAATTAAGCAATCGTGACAATCAGGTGGGAATTCAAGATCCTAATATTATTTAAAATATACCACGATTGCTGATTTTTATGTATTAAAAAATTATTGCTTTTTAAATTAAAATTTTTTTTTGACTAAAACTTTTAGTTTTAAATTTATTCATTGTTTGTTTCACCAACCACCGGATTATTAAACTGGCATCTAAAAAAGCAATTAAAACAATGCCGTAAGAAATCGCAACTTATTAACCTTTTCATGCAATCAAAATATTTTCAAAACAAAAAACAATAATATACATATATATATATATATATATATATATATATATATATATATATATATATATATATATATATATATATATATATATATATATATATATATATATATATATATATATATAAAAGATTTAAAGATATAGTTTCCCTAATAAAAGAAATTTGCTATTAGACTAATTAACTACTAATACCCCATTCATACTAAACATGCACTTAAATAAACTTAAATAAACATGCATTTAAATAAACTGTCTTAATCATGTTTTATTAAAACAACCAAATTAATCAAAAACTCCAAGTTATCATGTAAAAAGTTATTTAAACTGTGATTTCAATGCATGAAAATTATTGTAAACAACGAAAGAAAAAGAATCTTAGTTGTGCTTTTAAATTTTTTGAATTTAAATCTAGTATAAAATCTAGTATAAACAAGATAAATAACTACCTCCCAAGGGTGGTTATTTATCTTGTTTATCAAACTTTTTTGTTTTATTTAAAATTGTAATTAAAATTGCAAAAATTTTACACTTGAAAATTTTTTAGTTTTACAAGTTATCAGGCAATTTTCATTTCAAAAAAAACTTAGTATATATTAGAGTTGTTAACCAGAAGATTTTGTACATTTTTTTTTTTTTTTTTTTGTTAATTCACCTCCTCAAGGCCGAGAAGGCCACTACAGACTAGAAGGCTACTTATTTGTGGTTATATTTTTTTTTTCAGGAAAACAATTCAGGAAAAATAAAATTTCAGGAAAACAATTCAGGAAAAAAAAAATTCTTTTGGAAGGATATTGAATATCAGCTATTTTTTTTTTGTACCGAATTTTACGAAACAAAAAAACCCGTCAATGATCATTTCGCAAATGCTACTTAAGAAATGTAGTCTTTTGCAAGTTCTTACGGAAATCGCACTTGCGAAACAAGCTTTTTCGCTAAACAACGTTTTGAAGTCTATAAAGAAAGTTTACTGACCAAACGGATAATTGTAAAAAATAAATAATATTATATACCAAAATGTTTATAATAAAATTTTATTTTCGGTATTGCAACACATTAACATTTTAAGGTTTAATTTTTTGAAATAATGATAAAAAACCAAATTTTTTTTGAAACCAAAATATTTTGCACCACAACTTACAAAACAGTTCTTAACAGAAAAAAACTTATGAAACGTGACATAATAAATATATTTAATTACGTTTAATGAATCAAATGCAAATAATTAACTAAGTAACTAAATTACTATTTATTATATGACATTGATAAGTTTATATAAATACAGCCCTTGGAATTAGGGTCAGCATTCGACAATGCGGACCTAACTGCTGACCTAAAAGTGTTTAAGGTCGGCAAAATATCGCCTCTATTATATACCTCGATTCTATGTTTTATGGTAACCCCTTTGTGTCAAACTTTTTTTGCCAAAATGATGCCGAGCTCTAAGAGTTTGGATCGGCAATTTATTGCTGACCTCATTATTTCAAATTACGAAGGTTGTAAGTAAGTATTTTTTTAAAAATCTTTTTAAATTTTTTCTAGTTTGAATTTTAAACACTTTTAAAAGCAAAAAATTTTAGCACAAAAACAAACGCTATGTAACAACTCAAATTTAATAGTGTAATAAAAAGTACTGGTTTCTATAAGCATTAAAATAACAGTATGTTAAGATTTTTATAAAATAAATTTAAAAAGGATTTTTAAAAGCTGAAATATTTGTTTGAAATTTATAAAAACCATCTGACAAAAAATTAAATAATTAATAAACTGTAAATTTAAAGTAATAACTAATTCCAACGTTTTAATATAAATGATAAAAACTGGGCTATTTAATTCAAAAAAATGTAATGCATTGACGTCTTTTTAAAAATGAACTAACTCAAAAAAATGACGTACTTTTTTAACGTAGCCGTGTGTTCAACTTCAATTTTGTTTTGTATAAAAAAATAAAAAGTTCAAAAAATAAATTTTATATACAATACTAAATTTATTACTTTCGAGTCTTTCCGTAAATAGACATTCCGAAATGCTCATTTTGTAAAGAACTGTTTCGCAAGTATTCTTTCGAAATGATTTTTTTTGCAAGTTTCTTTTCTTAAAGCATTATTATGGAATTATTATTATTTATTTTTTTCGTATAATGCGATACGGAAGTTAATTAACTCACAATTACCTGTTAACACGGTACTTCTGTTTTAATTTTTCATTTCTTAATTTTTCTAACTTTATTGCTTGCAATTCCTATAAATCATGATAAATAAGAAATATAATTTCACAAATAATATACAAAACTAATATAAAAAGTTTGAGCCAATTTTTTTTTTTTTAATTAAATTTATTTAATTAAAAAAAAAAGTTAAATACAAATAACATCCACTTAAAAAGTTTAATAGAAAATTCTAATTAAATTTCAACCTTGGCTAATCTTTCTTCTTGTTCTTTTTGTTGTTCTCTCAGCACTTTCTGAATTTCTGCCTTAATAAAAGTAAGTTTCAAAACATAATTACAATCTTTAAACATATGATTTAACTAAAGATAAAAATAATTCTTTATGGTTGAATGATTTGCATGATTATTATGAAACTTTTTTGAAGATTTGGAAAATGCAGCCAAAAAACTTGAATGCAATTATCCTTTTCAATTTGGATAAATTCTCTTCATCTAAGTTGTCAGGAAAAAAAATCAAAATTATTGTTTAAAATTGTCTATCTTATTGGCAATGATAGTTTTATAGTGTACCCATATAACATTTTTAGGTAACATAAAGTACTGTAATGTAACCAAGGTAGGTTACATTACGAGCAAAATGTCAATTATTTTTTATGTAATGAGAAATAAAATTTTTATGTAACATGATGTAATATTTTTATGTAACAAGACAATATTTTTACGCATATTTTATTTTCGACAAATTGGTCACAGCTGTTTGCATATTGAGCATTGTAGGAAAAAAAAAAAGTTTCAAAAACAAAAAAAGCAAAACTAATAAAATAGGAAATTAATATAAATTTAAATAGAAAAAAAATAATTTTAAATTAATAATTTAAATAATTTGTGTAGTGTGTTTACTTTTGTTTTTTTAGAGTGATTGTTATTTTCAGCAATAAAATTGGATAAGGCAAAGCAAAAAAAAAAAGTCGACATTGAAAAAAATAATTTTCCTATATTTTATTGTTTTTTTAAAAAAGGAAAGTGAAATTATAAATTACTATCTGTTTGTGAAATATATTTGTATAATTTTAATGTAACAAGTATATATTGACCCTATATGAAAACGTTTATGTAATGTTTGTGTATACCTTTATGTATAACTTTTTTAATTATATGATTATATTTAATTTTTTCACGTACTAGTCTACATATGTTTAGCTTATTTGAATAAAACGTTTACTTCATACACGGAATGTCCGCGGTTTGAATCCCACCTCTTCACAAAATTTTTTTTTGTTTTTACACCCATCTCCTCCCTTTTGTTCTACAATGTTATTGGTGAAATATATGTAAACAATTATTAACAATTATTATTAATAATTCCATAACAATTAATAATAACTATTATTAATTATTGTTCACCAATAACATAGTAGACCAAAAGAGAGGGGCAGGTAGAACTAAACCCACGGAGTCGAATGAAAAAAGCAATAGGTATCCAAAATTACAAAGCACTAAAAGATTGGGGATAAAAAATGTACAGAAATAGAAAGATAGTGTTAAACAATTAAGGTTATGTGAATAATGTGTAGAAGGCATGGTCTAATTGAAGCTAAAAATTATGCATATATGTGTGCGCCTTACTTAGAAAATAAATTGAAAGGCTTAAATGGTATAAGAAATCTGAATGTGAAAAGGTGTGTTGTTTTATCATTTATAAACATACAACAAAAAAATTTTTTATATACAAAAAAGAAAAGATAAATGGTTACAAAGCAAATATATGACTAGCAGTATTTGAAAAAAAAAAACGATTTAAAAAACAGGACAGAGTTGGGATTCGAACCACAAACATTCGATATATAAAGTAAATGCCTTGTATAGTGTAAACTTAATGTACATAAATATTATTTATTATGCAGGGTTTTTAATATTTGGAATAACTTGTCATCAGATATTGTTAATGCCAAAAACATCAAACTCTATCAACTGCTAACTATATTATAAATAATACCATAATTTTTGTTTTAAAATTGTGGTATTATTTATAATATATATATTTTTTTGTAATTTATTGCTAAATAATCGTTAATATGCGCTAATTAATCAAAAATTTAACTAAAGTTTAAACTAAAAGCAATCCTGTTAAAAACAAACTATTTAACAAAATTTAAAGTACCACTTAAACAAACATTAACAGCACTTAAGGCTAATGTTTATCAAAAATTCCTTGTAAGATACCCGTTTCCAGGTACTGCAACAAAATGGCAGATACCAGGTACCCAGGAAAACAGTCAAAATTACTAGGTCCCTGAATATGAACCGAGTACTTGGCACATCACTAAATGAGACGTATTATTTTTATATTACAAAAGATAACATTTTAATAGTAGTAACGTGGTTTTTTTAAATTTAAAATTTTTTTTTTTTTTTTTAAATTTGTTCAATATATATATAATATATATAATATATATATATATATATATATATATATATATATATATATATATATATATATATATATATATATATATATATATATATATATATATATATATATACATGTTGAACTAATTTAAAAATTTGAGAAGTAAGACCATATTTATTTCTTTTCTTTCAAAATTTTCCTAAATTAAATAATGTAAAATGTTTTTGCAGTAAGATATAAAAATAACAGGTGTTCCCTCAAAAATGCAACTACAATAAAACATCTAAAAAAAGTATAAGTATGTTTTTTTGAAAAAAAAACAATTGAGACGAAGCAATTTTACTATAAAAATAAAACAAGATAAATAGCAATATGTCAATAATAAACAAACATTTACTTTGTTAGCAAATTTATTTAATTAAAAATAAGAGAATGTAATCTTGTTACCAATTGAACTGATTGAAATGTAACGCAGCTTTAAAATGTTATTGGAGGTAGGTCTTAAATATTTCTTTAATAAACTTTGTCCTTTTTTTTGGTCACATTTTTCAAACTTATAATCAAACATCATTCTGATAAATGAGAAACCTTTACACATGAGTACTTAAATCATTCACCATCTTCAGGCAAGGCTTTTAAAAATTGTTTTGTTAAACCCAATTTAATGTGTAGAGGTTGTTAAAGTTTGTTTTGTGAACCAGTGTCAATCTCTTGCTTTGCTGTCTCATATACAAAACATGGAAATTTAGTAAATCATTCAAATCTCAGCTTATCATCCAATTCTGAGCATAAGTAGATGTTCCTGATGCCAAAATTACTTTTAATTAGGCTTAAAGCCAAGCAGTTTAAGCCAGTCAACTCCATATCTCTTAATAAATCACACCTCAATATAGAATCATTTTAACGCCATAACCAGAGTAAATAAATACACATACACACATAAACTCTATCTTTTAATGCAGATTTAAAACTAAATGATACTAGTTCATTGTGTTTACCTAAGCTTTAAAAATCAGCATACATTTTGGGTAGGACTAAGAAAATATTGGAAAGGTGGTGGATTAAGTAATAATTATACTAGACCCAGAACAGAGCCTTGAGGAACTCCACTAAAAACAAAAAAGCCCTTTTGAAAAATAATTTGTTTAAATTTAGATGATTCAATATATTTTTTATGATGCATTCCGCTATCTTGCATAAGGAGATTGATTTGCTACTGGTTGGCTCACTTTAATTCTTTTTTTAAAAATTTGTATAATCTTGGCACAGGACCTTTTTTTAGAATTCCAACAAGCAAAAAATTGAAACAAAAGAGTAAGTAGTAAGGATTGAACTTTGTTCGTATTTCAAAGATTCTCTAAAATTTCTAACAGTTTTTATAATTTTTTTTTATACAGAGTTGGTTATACCCCTAAGACACGGCTGTTTCAATCAATATAAAAGCGAGCTTAACGTCACAAGAATTTTTGTGTATAAAAAAAAAAAAGAATTTCCGCATAAAAAGTATAAAAATTCACTAACTTTAAATTAATAGTATTTTTTTTCTATAAACGCTTTTATCTTGGAATTAAAAAAATATAAAAAAACTATCTTTCTTTGTTAAATAAATATTTACATGAAACGAAATAAAAATAAACATTGTTAAAATATTTTAAATGATTTTGGATCACTTTTCTATTTTTTGCGGCCAATCAAGATTTAATATTTTAAGCTACATGCTTGATGATTGAAATTTTACATACTTATAAACGAATGTCTATTTAGTTAAAATAGTTTTAGTTAGTTTTTTTAGCATTATTTTTTTTGTTTTTACTTGTTTTATATGAAAATCGTTCAATTTTTGTTTTGCCCTCCATATTATTGAAATTTCAACCCTCTATGCACATGAAAATCAAAAAAGTTAGTTTCTGTACTTATAACTAAAATGTCTTCAACCTTGGTAAATTTTGTTGCTTTTAGCAAAAATTTGTAGTTACATGCGTAAAATTTTTGTTTATGTTTTAAAGCAATGACGTAATTTTAAATGCGTTACTTCCTAATTCACTATGTAATTAAATTCATTAAAACAGCTTTTTTAGCGAGACAAATTTTAGTGTATAAATAAAAAAAACTTTGGCGGTTTTTTTTCTCTCGTGGCTAATCTATAAACATCAGATAAGTTGTTTAATCCTTTGATATCTATTGCATACTTGTTATTTGTCAATAATTATTATTTGATTTTATTTGTTTGTATTATATTTGTATTAAGAAGTTTATTTATCACTATGCATTCTAGTGAAAGCAAGATACTAATACTATACATTGGATGCTTAAAAGCTTAAGCTTTAAATTTTTAGGCATTAAGCTTTAGCTTTAAATTTTTTAACATAGTAAGATTTTTTTGTTTTTATAATAGTCCAACAATTCTACAAATAAAGAAGTTTTTTAATATATCTGTGAAACGTGATCAAATAAAACATTTTATTGATGTTTTTATTCTTTTTACAGAACAAAATTATCTCTAATGTTTCAAAAGTTATAAAAGTTTTAGTAACACCCCTTACGTGAATATTTTCAAAAAACAACAAGAAGCAGTAAAGCTCGCTTGAAACAGCCGTGAAGACTCTCAGAAGATTCAGACATTATGTAATCTAGGGTTTTTTTAAATGATGTATCTTTACTAATAAAATTAAATCAATAAATTGTTATGCTGTCTAGTTTTGTTACCACGTATCAATACATAACAGTCATTAAACAACTCCTAATAAGGAAAGTTAAAATCTCCAGCAGTAAGAAAATCATGTTTATATATATATATATATATATATATATATATATATATATATATATATATATATATATATATATATAACATGATGTATATATGGTATAGTATATATATACATATATATATGTA